TGGGTAAATGTCTTGTAAAAAGGCCCAATTTTGCCACAGTCCCTTTTCTCCTCATTTTTAGGGGGGGAAGGCTTCAATCCCTTTGGAGTAATGTCAAACCCTTTCCAACATATATTTTTTTTGTTTTTTAAAGGCATGCATGTGAAAAAAAATAATTTGCCTATTTACAAAGGGGCCCAGGGGGGCTGGTAGGCTTGACAAAAAGGTTTTTAAATACCTTTCTTTCCCGCATTTGTTCTTTTCAAAATTTGACATTTTGGGCCAGGTTTTATCTGCGATCCGGGTTTTTAAAATTTTGGGGTGGTCATTTGTTTTTTAAATTTTTTTTTTACCTTCCCCCTTTTGGCCCATGACTCACACAAAAAAAAAAAAAAAATTTTTTCCCCCGGTTAAATAAAAAAAAACGAAACACAATACAAAACAATTTTAAAATTTAAAACCCCTTTAACGCCATAAAAAAAAAAAAAAGGAAAAAAATTTGCCCCTGAGGGAATTTAAGGAAGGTTTAAAAAAGGGGAAAAAACCAGAAGGGGGTTTTCCTCACACCCTCCCTTTCCCTTTTTGTTTTGGTAGCCCCCCCTTTTTTTTTTTTGCTTTTTTTCACAGTTCAGGGCAGTGGGTCTGTCTCCCCCTTCTCCCCCTGTCCAAATCAGAAATTTCACCCATTGACCCAAATTTTAAAAAGGGGCAAAAGGAAAAAAGGTCCCGGGGTATTAAAAAAGGGAACAACCATAATTTTCCCAATTTCAGCGTTTTCAATTTTATTTAAATTTTAATCTTTTTTTAGTGGGGTTTTCAGGCCTCACTAGAAAGTCAGGGGGGGGTCAGAGGTCCCTTTTAACCCCCCATAAGGGAGTTGTTTACCCTTTTTTCTCTCACTGTACTTTAGCTTTAAAAATTTTTTTTAAAAAATGTCAACCTTCTCGTACCCGGGGACATTTGGGGTTTTTTAGTCCCGGAAAAAATCAAGGTTTAACCAAAATTTTTGACAATAGATACTTCATTTAAATTTTAAAGTGTGTCCCTTTAAGGGCATCCTTTTTAAACCCTTTAAAAAACCCTAATGAAACCAAAAACGAAAAAAACCCCCACAATAATCAAAACAGGTAAATTAAAAACCCCCAAATAATATTATAAAGGTGGTTGGGGTGTACGTGTGGTTTGGGGGGTAAAACGTAGGGGAAAAAAAACCCAAAAAGGCCAAAAGGGCCCTTTCTTCAAAAAGGGGCTTTGGGGAAAGGTTTCAAAAAAAAAACCAAAAAAAAACATGAAACCCTTTTGGTTTACCGGGAGGCCATTTTTCCCCCTTTTTAAGTCTCCTAGGGAAAGGGATTTTTTTGTGTTTTAGGGCACCCCAAAATGTTTCTCTAAAAATGTATTACCAATTTATTGTTTTTGTTTGGGCCCCACTAACAAGTTAAGGGTTTATTCATGACCAATTTCCGTTGGATATTCACTTTCTACTTCACACTCATTAAATGTCTATTATTTTTAGATGAATATGTAATGCGGCGAAATTATGAATTACATTGGGCCAATTCAGAAGGGGAGAGATACACTTTGGAGGGGAACTTCCTTTTTAAGGTACTGTAGCGCTCAAGACTAGAGTTCCTTTCCAGGATCAACATTTATTCTAACTGGGCTAAGCACTGTCTATCAGTCCATTGTCATTGGAGTGCTCTGGCCATGATGAGTCCGGCACCTGAGACAGGATAGACTGAGAGAGAGAGACAGTTTCCCACTCCGTCTCGGGGAGAGGTTCAATTTTGCCTACTCATGAATTGGTTTAGAACTTCATTGTTGGGGATATCAACTAAAACGCCATCTGGAATAAATTGTAGCCTTAAGTTTAGTTAACCAGTCTCTACCTAGCAAGTTAAATGTTTGAGTGGGTGATGACAGAAAATCATGTTCAACATTCATTGGTCCCATGGAATAGGGCATGGGTTTGGTTTCAAAATGTATTACTGGGGTGGTATTCCTTAATTCTTGATGAAGGCTCTGATTAATGTGCCGATTATATTTATTTGTTGGAAGCTGTTATAAAATCATAGAAAATGCCATAGAAAATGCCCCCAATCTTTGTCTGACACGCTTTGGACAGTCATACAGTGCTTTAACCTTATCAAATGATCCGTAAAGGGACCACTGAATATTTCTCAGAACCCTTTTTACACCACATATATACATCTACGTGTGGGTGTTGAAGTTGTATTTTCCCCGCTGGATCAGCACCTCCAACGGTGCTCTTAGAGGGTTTAGTACCCATGATTTCTAATAGTCTTCTTAGACCCTTATTATGACACCATCTCTAATAACCCATTATACACACATACAACTTGGTAACCCTCATATATGCAAACCGATTATACATACAGTATATAATACTGCAGGCTATCCAGTTCCTACTTGCAGGCTATCCAGTTCCTACTTGCAGGCTATCCAGTTCCTCCTTGCAGGCTATCCAGTTCCTACTTGCAGGCTATCCAATTCCTACTTGCAGGCTATCCAGTTCCTACTTGCAGGCTATCCAGTTCCTACTTGCAGGCTATCCAATTCCTACTTGCAGGCTATCCAGTTCCTACTTGCAGGCTATCCAGTTCCTACTTGCAGGCTATCCAGTTCCTACTTGCAGGCTATCCAGTTCCTACTTGCAGGCTATCCAATTCCTACTTGCAGGCTATCCAGTTCCTACTTGCAGGCTATCCAGTTCCTACTTGCAGGCTATCCAATTCCTTCTTGCAGGCTATCCAATTCCTACTTGCAGGCTATCCAGTTCCTACTTGCAGGCTATCCAGTTGCTACTTGCAGGCTATCCAATTCCTACTTGCAGGCTATCCAATTCCTACTTGCAGGCTATCCAATTCCAACTTGCAGGCTATCCAATTTCTACTTGCAGGCTATCCAATTCCTACTTGCAGGCTATCCAATTCCTACTTGCAGGCTATCCAATTCATGCTAATAGACTGGTCCAACAGTATATTTCAGGTGATTATAGGCAAACCAATTCCTAATATTGGAGACACCAATGTGCTCCCATTGATCAATGTTAACTGGTCAGATTCATTATTATAGGGAAATAGTTCTGCCAAATTGAACGCCATCATTTTGTGGATGAGGAGGACAAGAGATCTTTCACCATTAAGGCTTGGCTGAAAAACAGACAGTCCCTCACAGAGGTCTTTCACCATTAAGGCTTGCATTAAGCATTGTCTTGCATTAGGAGGAACCCAGGGCCAACCGCACCAGCATATGGTCTCACAAGGGGTCTGAGGATCTCATCTCGGTACCTAATGGCAGTCAGGCTACCTCTGGCGAGCACATGGAGGGCTGTGCGGCCCCCCAAAGAAATGCCACCCCACACCATGACTGACCCACCGCCAAACCGGTCATGCTGGAGGATGTTGCAGGTAGCAGAACGTTCTCCACGGCGTCTCCAGACTCTGTCACGTCTGTCACATGTGCTCAGTGTGAACCTGCTTTCATCTGTGAAGAGCACAGGGCGCCAGTGGCGAATTTGCCAATCTTGGTGTTGTCTGGCAAATGCCAAACATCCTGCACGGTGTTGGGCTATAAGCGCAACCCCCACCTGTGGACGTCGGGCCCTCATACCACCCTCATGGAGTCTGTTTCTGACCGTTTGAGCAGACACATGCACATTTGTGGCCTGCTGGAGGTCATTTTGCAGGGCTCTGGCAGTGCTCCTCCTGCTCCTCCTTGCACAAAGGCGGAGGGTAGCGGTCCTGCTGCTGGGTTGTTGCCCTCCTACGGCCTCCTCCACGTCTCCTGATGTACTGGCCTGTCTCCTGGTAGCGCCTCCATGCTCTGGACACTACGCTGACAGACACAGCAAACCTTCTTGCCACAGCTCGCATTGATGTGCCATCCTGGATGAGCTGCACTACCTGAGCCACTTGTGTGGGTTGTAGACTCCGTCTCATGCTACCACTAGAGTGAAAGCACCGCCAGCATTCAAAAGTGACCAAAACATCAGCCAGGAAGCATAGGAACTGAGAAGTGGTCTGTGGTCGCCACCTGCAGAACCACTCCTTTATTGGGGGTGTCTTGCTAATTGCCTATAATTTCCACCTGTTGCCTATTCCATTTGCACAACAGCATGTGAAATGTATTGTCAATCAGTGTTGCTTCCTAAGTGGACAGTTTGATTTCACAGAAGTGTGATTGACTTGGAGTTACATTGTGTTGTTTAAGTGTTCCCTTTATTTTTTTTGAGCAGTGTAGTTCTGCCAAATTGAACGCCATCATTTTGTGGATGAGGAGGACAAGAGATTTTTCACCATTAAGGCTTGGCTGGAAAACAGACAGTCCCTCACAGAGAGGTCTCTTAAATGTTTTAAGTAGTGGCCAGAGGGATGTCCGAGTCCATCCGGGTCACAGCACCAAATGTTGTGGAAATTAAGATCCAAAGATGAAGGCAGAGATTATTTAATTGTATAATAGAAAAATCTTTAATCAAGCAGCTGCAGGGGAGATTATTTTGATTTCCCAGGGAAGAATTTAAAGAATAAATGGTTACATGTCCCTTATATAGTGGGAGGTGATAATACAATCATATTGTTACACAACAGTTATTTTACATAAGCAACAGTTTCAGAACACAATGGCCTTGTGTCAGGGTGCAGATACACCAGGAGTCTAAAAAAAGGCATAACATCACAGTCCAACACAGAACATATCCCATGAGAAGTTACAACAGCTCACCCCAAATTCTGCCACCACACTAGCTTTCACTCAAATGTGAGGGGCTGATGCTCATTGGCTAGGGGGTGAAATGTAGGGAGGGCAGTAATTCTGCATGTATGAACTACACATTGACACATCCAGCCCAAAGCAGGAGGTTAAAAAAATACGTTCTTAGTCGCCAAAGTAACAGAGCATGTTTTTAACATTTATAAAGAACATTCCAAAATTATTTCTCATAGAATTGTAAAGATTCCTCACTATGGAAGAATTTCTTCCAAGAGAATTCTTCCAACTCAGGAGGATGGGTTAGGGGTATTGGTTGGGTTAAGAACTCTTGGACACCTATTTGGGAACACCTGGACACTACCACCTTTTTTCAACTTGTTTTCGAGTGTTCCCAAGCTTTCTGTTATCAATGTTTTCCCTTCCCCCTCCTTCTGGTTCTCACCCCAGTGTGCTTTGGCCACCCACTGTTCCTGGTTGTTTTTACAGCAGTAGGCTGTCCACAGGAGAGATGGGATGTTCACTCGTTTGTTCAGTTTGTTGTTCCTACTGGGCACTGCTCCAGTCACCACATAGGCCTTTATCTTCCCGTTGCTATCAAGACAGTCCTTCTGAAGCATATCAGAGACACTCCTCTCCATTGTGCTCCAGCTGCCCCCGTTGAAGGACTCCACCTGGGGAACGATGTTGGTCAGGGTAAAGGTGGACTCCTGAGTTTCAAGGTCATGAGCATGTGAACTTGGGAAGAGGTGACCTCTGTTCACCCCTTTTTCTTTTATTGAGTGCTTATAGTCGTTGTTCTCAGCCTGGTGATCTGGAGACTGGTATGGATGATCCACCATCATTTCAGGGTTGTTGTTGAGCTGCAAGAAATGTGGGTGGTTGACCTTCTCAATGACACGGTTATCACAGTAGAAAACAGCCTTATCTCACACACACACACTTTCTTTATTCTACCATTTAACAACCCTTTCATACAATCCAATCATACATTCACTCACAACTTATCTGTACAATAAACCCTCTTTGGTGGGGGGGGGGGGGGGGGGGGGGGGGGGGGGGGGGGGGGGGGGGGGGGGGGGGTTACGATCCACAATCAAGACAATCAATCAAGTCTCTATACCCTCTATAGTGGTAGTTCTATATTCTGTTAACATTACTGCTATATATCCCAGACATGTTATTTATGTGACAAAACATTAGCCTACCTGGGGCTCGTTCATCCAGGATTGATCTGGTCTGCCTTTAGGAGGAGCACCAGTGAAGGTGTAGGCTGAGAACACAGGGATCTTGTTGGTCGTGTCGTAGAGAGTTGCAAACCTGTAGCTGTTCTTGTACTTCTGGCAAATCGGTTTGTAGCGTTTCTGGTCCTGGACTTTGCCACCAACCAAAATACCCGGGAGATTTGGAGTTGTTCCCTCCACGAAGAACTTTTCACAATCTTTAACTTCGCTGAACTTCCCCACTACATGAGAGAGAGAAGGAGGAAGGAGAGAGAGGAGGAGGAGAGTAGAGAGATAATTCAATACCTCCATCATCACCTGAAGACTGGACACCACAGAGACAAAGATGAAGTTACAGAGACCAGTTGGTAGACTGGAGACTGCTGAGCTGAGACAAGACAGACTGCTTTAAATAGGTTTTCAGAGACCAGATGGTAGACTGGAGACTGCTGAGCTGAGACAAGACAGACTGCTTTAAATAGGTTTTCAGAGACTCCTCCTTCAGACGTCAAGACAGATAGGGTGGATTTGCATAAACTCCTCTGTATGGTTACATGGAAACTGCTGTAACAAATAAAATGTGACTCACCAACTGTAGATTCTAACACGTATGGACCCAGAACTTAATTATGCATGATTTTAGTTCTGGGTTAACAAGATTAGACTGCTCTAAAAAGTGACTGCATCCACACTTTGGTTTTGGTAGAAAAACTTTACTTTACTCAGCATAGTTTCAGAAGATACGCATCACACTATTCCAACAGTGGGACTGTTTTGGAATTACGGTTGCTGAGTTCACATTCATTAATATCCCACAAGGCTTAGCGCCTCTGACTCAGCAACTCAAAGAAGTAACACTTGCATTTCCCTTGACCAGCAAGTCAAAATATTTAGTATGATGTCTCATAAAGGCCTCACATTAATTACAGATATGTATACATTTGAATGAAATGGAGGAAGATGTAATAATATAATATAATATGCCATTTAGCAGACGCTTTTATCCAAAGCGACTTACAGTCATGCGTGCATACATTTTTGTGTATGGGTGGTCCCGGGGATCGAACCCACTACCTTGGCGTTACAAGGCCGTGCTCTACCAGCTGAGCTACAGAGGACCACGGAGGGTCATGAAATGGAGGAAGATGTGTACAACTGAATGAAATGGAGGAAGATGTTTACAACTGAATGAAATGGAGGAAGATGTTTACAACTGAATGAAATGGAGGAAGATGTTTACAACTGAATGAAAATGGAGGAAGATGTATACAACTGAATGAAATGGAGGAAGATGTATACAACTGAATGAAATGGAGGAAGATGTATACAACTGAATGAAATGGAGGAAGATGTGTACAACTGAATGAAATGGAGGAAGATGTATACATCTGAATGAAATGGAGGAAGATGTATACATCTGAATGAAATGGAGGAAGATGTATACAACTGAATGAAATGGAGGAAGATGTAAACAACTGAATGAAACGAAGGAAGATGTTTACAACTGAATGAAATGGAGGAAGAAATCAAATGTCAATCAACTTTCCACCTATGATTTTGACTCTATCACACTAACTGGAAACCAGAAGATGCCATATAATGGATGTTTAATTTACTGGTGTTGTTTAGGTTGGTGTATTCTGTGGTTTGAACACTGCTGAGTTTATTTCCAGTAATAGAAGTAGTTCACAGTTAGAGTTGACAAGGCTGTGTATGTAGTGTTAGAAAATGTGTTTCCTAACAACACTGTGGTCAGAGCAGCACTGGACTGATTAACACCTCAGCAGCTGTAGATTCTTCAGTTGAGGAGGCCTTTTCTCAGTAAGAGTAGGGGAGACTGGGGAACAAAGTAACACTTTTAGGCTTTTGCTTATTATGAAAATATTATTTAAGTTAAATGTTACAATTGACCCAGTAGGCAAATGTTACACAGGTCAATAATAAAAAATAAAAAGGAGAGGCGGCAAGTATATTTACTTTAGGGCCTCAAATAACTTTTTATGTCAATAAAACTAAAAGTATCAATGGATTTAAACAAAACCTCTTGGGCATGTAGAGACACTAACCAAGCATTAGCACCTTGAATAAGAGCTTTAAGTGGTTTCTAATTGGAGTTATTTAGCGGTTACAACTGACCCTGTGTTACTATTTTCCCCAGGCTACCCTACCTTCATGTAGAATATTTAAAGTGACTGATTTGCTCAAGTAAAACATTTGTAACTTCTTCAACTACCATAACAGTTTTTAAATAGCTGAAGCAGATTACACTATTTTACTTCATGTAAAATTACCTTTCTATTTGGGATTTAAAGGTGTGGACATTTATTTGCTAATTATTTACATAAAGTGTTGCCTTGAATGTTGGCTTGTGGGACGTATGATATACTATGAATCAATGTCTTATTTCATGAAACTACAGAAATCCTTTGTTTCAGGGAAACATTATATGCGTTTACTCATGAGTGTGGGGAGGAGTGCCCCTTTCTGTCCAATGAGGTCATTTCTGGACAATATTTCTGCAAGTAAAATTACGGTTCTACTTTGGAATGGGGAGCCCACAGCCAATAGGGATGATTAATTGTTACCCATGCTAAATAGTCACATCTGTGCCACATACAGAGGAGTTTATCCAACCCAACCCTCCTGGTCCAGTCTTGACCACTAATTATACCAGACAGGACTCATCTTCTCCCAGATATCATCACAGAAAAGTTCATAATTTAGTTAGATAATGTTTACCCAGTGGAATCCTGAGGCATGATTGATCAAGAGAGATGAAAATATAATAATAATAATAATAATAATATGCCATTTAGCAGACGCTTTTATGTTTTGGAATTACGGTTGCTGAGTTCACATTCATTAATATCCCACAAGGCTTAGCGCCTCTGACTCAGCAACACAAAGAAGTAACACTTGCATTTCCCTTGACCAGCAAGTCAAAATATTTAGTATGATGTCTCATAAAGGTCTCACATTAATTACAGATATCTATACAACTGAATGAAATGGAGGAAGATGTATACAACTAAATGAAATGGAGGAAGATGTTTACAACTGAATGAAATGGAGGAAGATGTTTACAACTGAATGCAATGGAGGAAGATGTTTACAACTGAATGAAAAGGAGGAAGATGTGTACATCTTAATGAAATGGAGGAAGATGTTTACAACTGAATGAAATGGAGGAAGATGTATACAACTGAATGAAATGGAGGAAGATGTATACAACTGAATGAAACGGAGGAAGATGTTTACAACTGAATGCAATCAATTGTCAATCAACTTTCCATCTATGATTTTGCCTCTAACACACTAACTGGAAACCAGAAGATGGCATATAATGGATGTTTCATTTACTGGTGTCGTTTATGTTGGTGTATTCTGTGGTCTGACCACTGCTGAGTTTATTTCCAGTAATAGAAGTAGTTCACAGTTAGAGTTGACAAGGCTGTGTATGTAGTGTTAGAAAATGTGCTTCCTAACAACACTGTGGTCAGAGCAGCACTGGGCTGATTAACACCTCAGCAGCTGTAGATTCTTCAGTTGAGGAGGCCTTTCCTCAGTAAGAGTAGGGGAGACTGGGGAACAAAGTAACACTTTTAGGCTTTAGTTTATAATGAAAATGTTATTGAAGTTATTTTTATGCAAAAAACATACATATATCGGCACCATTACATATGTGTAACAAATGTATATCGTACTCTCCTTGCGTTGTGTTTTCTCCTAATAAATCACATCAGCCAGTGGTCCCAGTTGAGCATCATTTATTTCTGTTGTTAAATGGGAAACAGCACGTTAGTTGTGCAGAGCTTAACGATATTGATGGCTGTCGATGGCAAAATCCCTTGCATCACATTTTCATACTGGGCGAACAAAATACAAAAATAAAATACAAAATATAACATGTGTAAATACCTGCTGTTAAATGGGAAACAGCACGTTAGTTGTGCAGGGCTTAACGATATTGATTGCTGTCAATGGCAAAATCTGTAACATGAAGGCAACTGTGTTAGCAGTGGGCTCACGTGACCATTAGGTCGGTGTATGCTAGCTAACACACTTATCTACAGCAATCATATGCCAAAGCACATCCCAAAAAGCCCCTCAATCCCTAACAGGTACCATATACCCACACATGTATGAATCAGTAACGTACAGCAAACTTGTACACATTGTAATATATTAAACAGTATTCAGAACATGACCCCTTGCATCACATTATCATACTGGGAAGACCTGACGTTCGCGATCTCCCCCTAGCTGCAAGCGGGACCAATCACAACACGCCTTATTGTCATCAGAGTTGAACCAACCAATAAGAATGCTTGAACATTAAATACACATTTCTTTAGAGGCAAGTGGAAACATAACCAACCCTGTTACGTATGTTCCTAGGATATACCAGTCGTTTATAATTCAACCAAAAGTGGCGGGAATTAAATGTTACAATTGACCCAGTAGGCGAATGTTCCACAGGTCAATCATTTTAAAAAAGGAGAGGCGGCAAGTATATTTACTTTAGGGCCTCAAATCACTTTTTTTGTCCATAAAACTAAAAGTAATGAATGGATTTAAACAACACCTCTTGGGCATGTAGAGACACTAACCAAGCATTAGCACCTTGAATAAGAGCTTTAAGTGGTTTCTAATTGGAGTTATTTAGCGGTTACAACTGACCCTGTGTTACTTTGTTCCCCAGGCTACCCTACCTTCATGTAGAATATTTAAAGTGACTGCTTTGCTAAAGTAAAACATTTGTAACTTCTTCAACTACCATAGAAATGTTAAAGAGCTGAAGCAGGTCACAATTTTACTTCATGTAAAATTACCTTTCTATTTGGTATTTAAAGGTGTGGACATTTATTTGCTAATTGTTCACATAAAGTGTTGCCTTGAATGTTGGCTTGTATGACATATGATATACTATGAATCAATGTCTTATTTCATGAAACTACAGAAATCCTTTGATTCAGGGAAACATTATATGTGTTAACTAATGACTGTGGGGAGGAGTGCCATTTTCTGTCCAATGAGGTCATTTCTGGACAATATTTCTGAAAGTAAAATGATGGTTCTACTTTAGAATGGGGAGCCCACAGCCAATAGGGATGATTGATTGTTAGACATGCTAAATAGTCAAATCTGTGCCACATACAGAGGAGTTTATCCAACCCAACCCTCCTGGTCCAGTCTTGACCACTAATTATACCAGACAGGACTCATCTTCTCCCAGATATCATCACAGAAAAGTTCATAATTTAGTTAGATAATGTTTACCCAGTGGAATCCTGAGGCATGATTGATCAAGAGAGATGAAAATATAATAATAATAATAATAATAATAATAATAATAATATGCCATTTAGCAGACGCTTTTATGTTTTG